CCGTGACGAGAGGGGCTGTGGATCCTGGCACCCTCAGCTCATTTCACACGACCAGGTACAAATGGCTTTATTTGCCCTAATTGTGGAAAATAATGAGCTGTCCTTCACCTCCCTCTATGTCCTCTATCCGAAGGTGCTGCTCATTTACAATGGAAAAACAACACTGAGGCATTGTTCTTAAGGAAAAAATTCGAGGCGTTCTGAGTTTAATCCTACTGTGCGGAGAAGGAGATGAGCTTCTCCTGGGTGATGGCACAGCGACAAAATGAGTTAATTACCATCTCATCGCAAGATGGATCTACTTGTCATGAGAACAGGAGCCATTATTTCACACAAAATAATGACCCAGATAAAAAGGGACGGCTGTAGGCAGCAGCCACCAGAGACACAGCTTCATCTTGGCCTAAGTGAATGGCAATTAGCAAGTATCTTCACCATTCGTGTGTGTGTGTGTGTGTGTGTGTGTGTGCGCGCGCGTGTGTGTGCGTGTGTGTGCGTGTGAGTGTGCGTGTGTGTGTGCGTGTGTGTGCGTGTGTGCGTGCATGCGTGTGTGTGTGTGTGTGTACCAAGCCATTCATCAAATATTTACTGAAAACACACAAATATTTTTTTTTTTTTACTACCTTTCTTCCCAGGGAACTCCTGTGGTCTTCCTCCCGTGTGATGACAGACAACTTTCATGCCCGTGTGAAATCCTGCCATCGGACGGAACCGCGGCTGGCCCCGCAGAGAGCCCCCACGCCCGTCTCTTTGCTGCACCAGAGGTGGTGTTTTCCTGAGAAATCACGTCCAGCAACAGGAAACAGGAGCAGAAGGCGGGGCCCGGTCCCATCGTTTCGTCCTGCTCCTCCTGGTTGCCGCGGTCACAGGCCTACAAACCAGAGCCGCAGCCGCCACTGAGAGCAAGACGGGCCGGACCCTCCCGGGAGCTCCCAGCCGCAGATGGGGCAGGGACGGTCGGCGAGGCCACCTCCACACCTGGGCAATCCCAGGTGGGCTGCGGGCTTCCCCCACTGTGCTGCCCGTGACTCCGAACTGCATCTCCACTGAGAGGACCAGGGGCCAGGGACTCCGGGATACAGCTGGAGACCACTTATGGGAAACCGCTTGCCTCCCGAGCGTGCAGGTTGGTCCAGTCTGCCTGAACCCGGGCAGGTTTATTTGAAAAACCAGGGGTACTGGGAAGGCTGCGTGTGTGTGTGCGCGTGTGTGTGCGCGCACGCGTGTGTGTGTGTGTGTGTGTAGGGACCAAGCCATTCATCAAATATTTACTGAAAACACACAAATATTTTTTTTTTACTACCTTTCTTCCCAGGGAACTCCTCTCCTGTGTGATGACAGACAAATTTCATTCCCGTGTGAAATCCTGCCATCGGACGGAATCGCGGCTGGCCCCGCAGAGAGCCCCCACGCCCGTCTCTTTGCTGCACCAGAGGCGGTGTTTTCCTGAGAAATCACGTCCAGCAACAGGAAACAGGAGCAGAAGGCGGGGCCCAGTCCCATCGTTTCGTCCTGCTCCTCCTGGTTGCCACGGTCACAGGCCTACAAACCAGAGCCGCAGCCGCCACCGAGAGCAAGACGGGCCGGACCCTCCCGGGGAGCCCCCAGCCGCAGACGGGGCAGGGACGGTCGGCGAGGCCACCTCCACACCTGGGCAATCCCGGGTGGGCTGGGGGCTTCCCCCACTGTGCTGGCCGTGACTCCGAACTGCATCTCCACTGAGAGAAACAGGGGCCAGGGACTCCGGGACACAGCTGGAGACCAGTTATGGGAAACCGCTTGCCTCCCGAGCGTGCAGGTTGGTCCAGTCTGCCTGAACCCGGGCAGGTTTATTTGAAAAACCAGGGGTACTGGGAAGGCAGGGGCATGACGGCCCGGTGGGCTTCGAGAGTGTATCATCTGCAAAGTGTTAATAAAGAAGAGTATGGAGATTGTCACACTAGGTGAGGTCAGACAGACAGAAAGACAAACATCATACGACATCACTTACATGCGGAATCTAGAGAAAGATACAGACGAGCTTATTTCCAACACAGAAAGAGACCCTCAGACACAGAAAACAAACTTAGGGCTACCAGAGGGGAAAGCGGGGAGAAGGGGAGGGATAACTTAGGATTTTGGGATTAACATATACACATGACTATATATAAAATACCTAAATAGTAAGGCCCTACTGTGTAGCACAGGGAACTATACTGAGTTTTTTTGTAAAAACCTATAAGGGAAAAGAATCTGAAAAAGAATATATAGACATATACATACACGCATATATGTAAGTATATATATGTATAACCAAATCACTGCATTGTACACCTGAAACTAACATGATATGGCAAATCAACTATATTTCATTAAAAAAATAAATTAAACAATTTTTACATGCTAATAACAGAATTCTTATGCAAACACAGAAGGAGCAGGAGTCAATGACTGATCTAACTGAATACTGATCAAACCAGGAGATGCTGTTCCCCACACACAGCCAGTTGGAGGGGAAAGAATGGTGGGACAAAAGTAAAAATTAACCATGAGTAGCCGATGTCTTCCAGGGCATACCAGTCATAACTCTGACGTTCTATCCTGTTGGACAGATGCCCACCTGCAGGCACTATAGACACACAGCAGCTGGGTGCCCGCCCGCCACGATGTTCAGGAGCTGGTATGGCCATGAGGCAGAGGGTCCGTCCTGTAAGGGTCTGGTTGGGTTAAGACAAAAGTGCCAAACCACACGTTTTTAAAAGAGTCTGTTGTATGGTATGGCCAGAACCTATGCCCCATCCTACGAACTTGCCCTCAAATACTCTTAAGCATCTGAGTCCTCATTACAAAACCATTTCCACAACCATTTTTCCCCCAGGACTCAGATGATGGGGAAATTCCACCTCTAGAAGGTCCCTGCCAAGTTTATGAGGACAAGTCATTCACAGCAAATCCAAAGAGGATGGCTCTATTTATACGGACAGCTCCCAGAGTGACGAAGCACCCGTGTTCTCAGGCTTAAGCACGTGTCAACAAAAACTGCTCTTCCTCCCATTTCTTAAGTAATGATCCAAATTCTAAGCAGAGTAGAAGGAATCTTCCATCGTCCGAGTGAAATTACCCAAATGTCTGACTAAAGAGGTCATCGGATTCCCGGGCTGCGGATCTTGGCTCCCACCACACCTAAGTGATGATTCCCTGGGCTTGAAGAGCCTGAACACTCAACAAGCCTGAAGGCAGGGAGGCAGGGAGTGACCCTCCACCCCCAATAAAAAACCCAGAGTTACTGGCTGTGGAAAGGAACCACCCAATCCTTTCAACTCTCCACGACTCTTGCTGCTTTCGCAGCTGAGTCCGAGCCTGTCCTCCCACCTCTCACGGCCCCTGTCTTGCAGAAGGCCCTGATCTTCCTTTCATTCTGCTGTCCTTCACACCAGCTGGGAGGCCCCCCTGCCAGCCTCGCCCGCCCCGGCCCTCCGCAGCCCCATCAGACCTCCTCCTGCCCTCTCCGCCTGACGCACCGCCCTGACCCCACACCACTCCGGGTCTCCGCCGCGTCCCTGCTGCTCAGGCTCATCACTCGTATTCAGAAGAGCTTCCCCCCTTGTGAGGACATGAGGGCAGAGACCATGACAATTTTATCCTCTGCGTCCCAGCACACCGTACCATTTCTGGCCCAATGCTGACCACCTATGATATTTACTAATGAACTCACCAGCTGACTAATTCACTAATTCACCAATCAACTGGCAAACAGATGGGGAAATGAGGGAAACAATGACAGACTTTATTTTTCTGGGCTCCAAAATCACTGCAGATGGCGACTGCAGCCATGAAATGAAAAGACGCTTGCTCCTGGACAGCGTATTACAAAGCAGACACATTACTTGGCCGACAAAGGTCCATCTAGTCAAAGCGATGGTTTTTCAAGTAGTCATGTATGGATGTGAGACCACAAAGAAGGCTGAACCCCGAAGAAATGATGTTTTTGATTGAACTGTGGTGTTGGAGAAGACTTTTGCGAGTCCCTTGCACTACAAGGAGATCCAACCAGTCCATCCTAAAGGAGATCAGTCCTGAATATTCATTGGAAGGACTGATGCTGAAGTTGCAATACTTTGGCCACCTGATGTGAAGAGCTGACTCATTGGAAAAGACCCTGATGCTGGGAAAGATTGAAGGCAGGAGGAGAAGGGGACGACAGAGGATGAGATGGTTGGATGGCATCACCGACTCAATGGACATGAGTCTGAGGGAACTCCAGCAGGGAGTTGGACAGGGAGGCCTGGCGTGCTGCAGTCCATGGGGCCGCAGAGTCAGACACGACTGAGCGACTGAACATCAACAACAACTGACTGACTGTATCTCAAACAAATCCTAATCCCCTCAACAGGATGGGGAGCTGCCAATCATCTTGGAAGACTGGGTAGGGAGGAGAAGGTGAGCATTAAGCGACGAACTTTACCCGTTTGGGCAAGGACATCCCTGCCACCGTAGATGTCAGCGTACGGAAACAGTGCACCCAGCAATTAAGCAGGAAACCTCACTCGGCCCAAACAGAAGTGCAAAACCAGACTCAGTTCTGGGCAGGAAGTGAAGCCCCTGCAACGAGGCAGTTTCCCCAGGATGATCGCACGCCCATGGTCGCTGGATGGTGGCACGCTCCCGCTCGCTCTAGGGACAGAAGGAGGCTCGTGGCAGTGAAGACCCACAGGGCAAGTGGGAGCTGGGAGCTGGGGGCTCACACCGCCTTGAGGATTTGAAGGGCTTCCTGGCCGTGGGGCCAGCAGGCCTGCCAGCTATTAACGCCACTCCAGCCTTAAAAACGTGCGGTCTGGCATCCTGGGAGGCAGGAAGCCACCTTGCTCCAGGGTCAGGGGCAGCCTGAGCAGGAAGGGGCGGCCCCCGCGAGGCCTCCCGAAGCCCCTGGTTAGAGCAGGCCCGGACCGAGGCCCACCCGCAGTTCACCCGGGCAAACGTCCAGCCAACCCACCCCACGGTCCATCGACCGCAGCACTGACCTTCTTAATGAACTCTGGGAGGATTTTCTGGTCCGTCAGGTGGTCTAGGGAAGAACAGCAATCTAATTCCAAGATGTAGCCTTCATTGTGAAGATCAGCATTCTGAGATCTGAAAAGAGAAATACATACACACATCAAGATTTTGGATGTTCAATGAAATCCTAATTTTTTCCCTTAAACGAATCACCCAAAAGGCAGTTTTCAAAAAATAACTGATGGTAAAAAACTCAAATAGTATAGAGGGAGAGGGGTCTACATCATGGAAAAACCTCTATGATGAAAACGCATCATTATGGAACGACGAGTTCAGTACAGCCTGGCTTGTCTGTTAAACAAGCACACATGCACTCATGCGCACACGCATTCACATGCACTCACACACTCACGCACTCACACACATTCACTCACTCGCACTCACATGCACTCACACACTCACTCACACACATGCCTTCACGCCTTCACACACACTCACATGCTCATGCACTCACAAGCACACACATTCGCACTCATGCACTCACACACTCACATGCACTCACGCACACTCACACACTCACACGCACTCACACACATTCACATGCACTCACACTCACGCACGTACTCACACACATTCACGCACTCGCACTCACGCACTCACATGCACACACACTCACATGCACTCATGCAGTCACATGCATTCACACACTCACACACACTCACACACTCACATGCACTCACGCACACTCACACACACTCATATGCACTCACACACTCTCACACACACATTCTCACACTCACACACACGCGCATTCACGCACTCACACACTCACACGCACTCACACACGCATTCACACACTCACGCACTCATGCACTCACACACACGCACTCTCACTCATGTGCACTCCAGTCACATTTGTTTCCCATTGCTGGCTTCTGCCCGCAGGGCACAGAAACAGAACCACTAAGACGCAGGCGAACCCACATCCGCGGACAGCAGTGACCCTGGAGGACGCGGACGGCCTGGGAGGGAGCTGGGTGTGGACGCTGCCGACGACCCAAAGGGACTCTGGCTGGATCGCTAATTTTTTCACTTTTTTTTTGGAAGAGAAAATATTCATGTGTCACTCAGAAATTTTAAAAATAATTTGGAAAAGATTTTTTAAAGAGTTCAACCCCTCCAGAGGGCAATCTGGCAAAATCTATCAAAACTAAAAATGCATTAAAGAAAGACTATAAGGCATGGGGGGAGGGTTGTAAATTAGTAAATTAGGAGTTTGGGATTAACATAGACACATCTATATAACAGAATACCAACAAGGACCTACTGCACAGCACAGAGAACTCGACTCAATATCTTGTAATAATCTACAGACGAAAAGAATCTGAAAAAGAACATGCATGTATGTATACACACATACACATGTCGGACTCTGTGACCCTATGGACCATAGCCTGCCAGGCTCCTCTGTCTATGGGGATTCTCCAGGCAAGAATACTGGAGGTGGTTGCCAGGCCCTCCTCCAGGGGATCTTCTCAACCCAGGGATTGAACCCAGGTCTCCCACATTGCAGGCAGATCCTCTATGCCTGAGCCACCAGGAAGCCCATACTATGCACACACACACACATATGCACACACACACATATATGCACACACATGTGTGTAACGGGCTGTCAGGGCGTCAGTGTGGGCCACATGGGCCGCCTGGTCTCTGCCACCGGGGCTGAGCTTGCTCTGTGCAGGGTTCCAGGCGATGGGGCCGGCAGGTCTGCATGACTTTGCTTTTCTTCCAGGAAACGTCCCGGCTTCGTGTTCTTTCCTGGTTCTCTCCTCCCAAAGCCTTCTCACTGAGAACACTCTTGGCTCTCCATGGCTCTGACAGGTGGAGGGCCAGGCACCGGGGCTTCAGACTGGCCTCCCTGGGTGTGGTGGCTGTGGGGGAGCTGCAGCCAGCCTCCTCCCAGAGCGGGCCTTCTCCGGAAGCCCCCTGTATCCTCAGCGGAAGGGCCCTGAGAAGTCCTCAGCTTAGGACGCCGGGGTGACGCGTGGGGCCACCTCACAGAAAAGAAAAAGGCACTTTGTACACGCATGACACATACATGTACGGCTGTGTACCACAAATGAGTTTCCCATGTGCACGCATGTGCAATAAAGAATATATACATATATATAGCTGAATCACCTTGCTATACACCTGAAACCAATGTGATGCTGTAAATCAACCACACTTCAATTCAGAAAAACAGAGTGACTCCAAGGCGACTGAAGCAGGCATCTGAAGGCAAGAGCGGGCATGAAGGGCTGCCTGTGGCAAACACCTTCAGCCCTGCGTCAAGACAGAGGCGCCCACGTGCCCTGCGGACGGCAGGTTGCTTCCCCGTCCCCACCACTCACTCACACACGTGACCCAATTCTGGGCACACTCAGCAGCAAGCGGCCACCAGAGGGAAAGCCCATCACTCACGCCACTCCTTTGAGGGACCCCAGGATGACACTCAGAGGCGAGGGACTCCTAGGAGCCACGTGGTCAGAAACGGAAGCAGACTAGCGGGCCCAGCGGGACAGCAGACCACAGGAAGTGGACAGCAGCCATGGGTCCATGGACTGGGCCCTCTCCTCGGGGGGAACAGGACTGCGAGACCAGGGCCAGGCTCCCCAGGGCTCACGCCACGTGCATAGCGCCTCTCCAAGGCCAAGGGCAGGGCAGGGCCCTCCTCACCCACGCAGGAGGGTCCCTACCACGGAGGGGCTGCAGCCGCCCCGTGAGAGCTGGGGTACCCCAACAGGCACCTCCACGCTGAACCCCTGAGACACGCACATCCCACAAAGCATGATTTCTGCATGCCTACTGGCCACACTATTTTAAGACGTGTTTCTAGGAGTCTTACATATCATTCGAAGCGATGTGTATGCTGCCATGAACAATTAAACTCAGGGCCTCCCTCGAGTCTCAGTGGTAACGATTCTGCCTGCCAACGCAGGAGACACGGGATCGATCCCCAGTCTGGGAAGATCCCACGTGCCTCAGAGCAACTAAACCGATGAGTTACAACTACTGAGTCCATGCTCCAGAGCTTGGGAGCCTCAAGTCCTGAGCCCACGTGTGGCAACTACTGAAGTCCGCAAGCCCTAGAAGCCACGCTCCCCAAGAGGAGCCCCTGCACCGTGTCCGGAGAGCAGCCCCGCCCTCCACAGCCAGAGAAACGCAACCCCAGAGAAGCCCATGCAGCGACGAAGACCCAGCATGGCCACAAATAGATAAATGATTTAAAAAAATAAAACTAAAATTAAAAAAAATCTAAATTCAGAAGTGGAAAAGTTAAAGAGGATTTGGATTTCCCCACATGTGCAACGGTGATTAGGTAAGCAAGTGTCAATAACTTATTTTGATTTTAATTTCCCCATTAACAAATCCTTTCAGGGGAGAGACTGAGATTCGTACTTCTGATATGTAAAAGAATCAGCTGATTCCAAACTGGATACGCTGGAATAAACTAATTATGAAAGAATCAACCAATTCTGAACCCCCTCCCTTCTTGCCTTAAAACTTCATCAGAGGTTAGATTCATGTTCCTTTTTTGCCCTGTGTTCTTCTCCCCAGGGTTATTCTCACCATGCTCTGAACAAAAGACATGCTAAGAGGAACTAAAGCAGAAGATTCCAGACTTTTAAAAGAGAAGACTTAGTCAACACACAGTCATGTGCATCCTGAGGGGGTCTCAGACAACAAAGACAGGAATCAGAGAAGGAAAGTCCTTGGATGAGAGATCCCAGTTGCTGTCACATGGGGACATCAGCTGGTACAAGAATATTTACAAATACCCACTGACATTTTAATGACTAGAGTGGAAAACAGTGATCACTGAACATAAGTCAAATAGGCGTTTCTCTAAAGGTGACATCCATATGGCCAAGAGGTACATGAAAAGATACTCAACATCACTAATTATTAGTTNAGTGATGGGAGCAGATGCCATGATCTTAGTTTTCTGAATGTTGAGGTTTAAGCCAACTTTTTCATTCTCCTCTTTCACTTTGATCAAGAGGCTCTTTAGTTCTGCTTCACTTTCTGCCATAAGGGTGGTGTCATAGGGATTATCATATTTGGTAAAGTAAATTAGACAAAGACAAATATTGTTACTATCGCTCATGTGTGGAATATTAAAAAATCATACAAATGATCTTCCTTAGAAAACAGAGACAGCCTCACAAACAAGGAACTATAGTTACCAAAGGGGAAAGCAAGGGATAGAATGAGGAGGGATAAACTAGGAGTTTGTGATTAACAGACACATACTACTGTATATAAAATTTAAATATTCAATATTTTGTTCTAATCTATGAGGGAAAAGAATCTAAGGAAATAACTAAATCACTTTGGTGCTGTTGGAACCAACACAACATTGTAAATCAACTACAATAAAAAAGAGTCTTCCAGTGAGAAAGCAAAAAAACAAGAAAGTCAACATTGTTTCCAGTTTGTAGAACAGCCACAGAATGAAAGGAGGGAAGCTGGGTCCCTCTTTCAGCAACTCAGGGCCCAGTCCCAGAGGATATTCATTCCTACAGGCTCTACTAGCTACCAGTTTTTGTTCTGGAACAAGACGTACTCTGAGGAGGAAGGCAGCTCTGGTTCATTTCATCAGAGCATTAACTCAGTTACATCTGAACTGAAAGAAGCACAGAAGAGGGACGAAAGTCAGCACTGTTACAAATACTCTAGATGAAAGATGAAAACTCCCATCTTGGTCTTTGGTCACTTGAAGCAAATCCATGCATTTCAGAGGAGCAGGGGAGTAGCTCAGAGGCCCCCCCGCCTTGAGGAATAACCCCGCAGTTTAAACGAAAGGGTCGGAACTCTGAAGCGTGGCTGCGGGGCAGGGGAGGTGGCAAGGGCCCGTGAGGGCTCTGAGGACCGATGCTGGCTACCCCGGCCCTCAAGTCACACTTGGGGAGGTGCCGGCCCGAGACGGGTGTGTGCTCAGTCATGCCCGACTCTCTGCGACCCCAGGGACTGCAGCTCGCCAGGCCCCTCTGTCCCTGGGGTTCTCCAGGCAAGGATACTGGAGTGGGGTGCCATGCCCTCCTCCAGGGCATCTTCCTGACCCAGGGATGGAACCTGGATCTCTTGCG